AGTTCCAGTTCCTATACTAAAATATCAATACATATTTCTGTTAAGCTTCAGTTGTTATCTAGGTTAGTTAGGCTAAAGGAACTAATCTATTCTGGTTTTTTTTTTCACCCTGCTTTCTTCTTTTTGAGTATTGAAATAAAAAATAAGGGAATTGGATTCTCTTTAGGTTTACAGACTTTAGAATTAGAAGGGATCTTAGAAATCATTAACATAACCCCAACACTATACAGATGAAGAAGCTGAGGCCCTGAGAGATGAGGTGCCTTACAAGGTAATACAGCAAGACTTCAAATCTAGGTCTCCTGGTTCCAAACTACACCAGAATTTCTCTCTACATGGGCCCTTGGCTGGTGAGTAAGGGAAACTGGATTAGAGAATCTAGGCCTGCTGAATCTTAAAGCTGGAATGGTTCCTGGATATTATAGAGTCTGATCTTATTTGAAAGATGAGGAAATAAGGCCCTGTGATACTGAATAATTTGCCAAAGGTTTCAGAGCTAGTGAGTAGGAGGGTCCAAAACTAGAACCTAAGTTTTGGGATTCCCAATGCCTTGTGCTGGCCACTACATCATGCCAATTCCCAGATCTAATTCCTTTCTTACTCAAGAAATCTGTCCACCAAATAATTTTTATGGATTAAGCATCTGCTTCAATGACATAATATGTAAACTGCTTTGCAAACCTTAAAATACTATAGAAATGTTAGCTATTATTATTAATCACTCTACTCAAGCTACTCACAGGGATGGTCACTCCTTAGTTTTCACGATGACCTATAATTGTTCTACCTCGATGATTTACATTTTTTTTTCTTTCTGATGATAACCTCCTAGCCTTCCCTCTCTCACCCTGATCCACTCCATTAAACCTACTATTTGTCTTCTCTGCAACCTTGCCCTCCTCACTTCCTGCTCTGCAGTCTGTCACTCTTAATCTAGCCTAACCTTTTTTCCTTCATAGTCTTTGACACTATAGTTAGCCAGGTTAATATATCCAGTACCCTGGAATTCCTTATCCCTTGTCCTACTGCTGCTCATTTCATGCCAACCCCCAACATTTGATTATGCCTCCCTTTTGACTTCTCCGCTCCTACTAGCATGTTGTTGAACACCAATAAAGTCATAATCTATATTGATTGGGTTTGCTGTAAATTCATGATATTTAATTTCAACTGATCCTTTACTTGATCATTGTAATTCTTTTATTTTTTCCTGATCCTTTCTCATACTTCCCACAGTGGCAGTTTCATATATTTTCGTTTCTTCGAGAAAATGGAGTCCATTTGTCATAAGAGCCCTTCTCTTCCCCAACTCCACCAAGAAGTGGCTCTCCTCTTTGCCAAAGCCAAGCTTTCAAGCTCTCCTTTATTCTACTCCCCCTTTTCCATTTTCAATCCCTCCTCATCCTTTGGCTTTTTTCCCATTCCGTGCAGATGCCCTCATCGCTCCCATCCTTAAAAAACCTTCACTTGACTCTGAAATCTCCTCAAACCATCATCCTATATCTCTCTTTCCTTTCATAGTCAAACTTACAAAAATCCATTCACACTAACTGCTTCCACATCCTTACCTCCCATTTATATTTCAACTCTTTGAAATGTCTTCTGACTCAACTGCTTGATTGAACTGTTTCATCTCATATTGGCAATGACTTGTTAATAAATAAATCCAATGGTCTTTTAGAAATAGTCTTTACTTTTCTTGACCTATAGAGATTTTGAAACTGAGGAGGGCCTCATAGATGCTCATTCTTCTCTGTTTCTTTAACAATGCTTTGTCCTGATTGTCCTATTTACCTGTTTCTTCTATATCTCCTTTGATGGATTATCATACATCTCTTTTCCCCATGTGAGGCATTCCCTCAGGACTTCTCTTTCTATACCCTCTCTTGGTAATCTCATCAGCTCTCGTAGATTCACGATATTTTGCAGATAACTCCCCAGACTTCAAATCCAACCTTGTTCTCTCTTCTGAACTTGTCTCATCTTTAAAAACTGCTTACTAGATATATCTTTTTAGATTTTACACAGACACCTTAAGCTCAACAAGTCAAAACTGGACCTCATCATTCTTCCTTATAAAGCTTTCTTCCAAACCTCCTTATTTCAGTTGAAGACAACACCATCCTTTTAATTACCAAGGTTTACATCCTTACCTCACTGTCTTTTAAATTGCACATTCATTACAATTCACATGGATACCATTCTTGTTTAAGCCCTTATCATCTCCTGGTTGAAAGGTAATAGCCTCCTACATCATACCCCAACTTCCAAAAGACATCCTCCAATGAGATGCCAGATTTATGCTCCTAAAACAGAAGTTTGACCATGACACCCCTCTGATCAAAAATTTCTAGTGGTAATTGGTTATTTCCAGGAAAAAATACAAACTTCTCAACTTGACATTTAAAACCTTCACAACTGACTCCAGCCTACCTTTCCAGATTTAATTTCACATTATTCTTCTTATACTTTGACTTCTGACCTCAGCATTCAACTGAAATTGCCCTTTCTGAAGTTACCTATGATCTCTTAATTGCCAAATCTAATGGCCTTTTCTAAATCCTCATTCTTCTTGACCTCTTAATAGAATTTAACACTGTTGATCACTGTCTACTCCTGGATACTCTCTCCTCTCTATGCTTCCATGACATTGCTTTCTCCTTGTACTTCTATCTGCCTCAGTTTCCTTTGCTGGTTGACATAATAGATAAAGCATTAAGCCTGAAGTTAGGAAGACCTTAGTTCAAATCCAGCCTCAGACACTTACCAGCTGTATGACCTACGGCAAGTCACTTAACTTTTGTCTGCCTCAGTTTCCTCAACTGCAAAATGAGGATACTAAGTACCTATCTTCCAGGATTGTTATGTTCCTGGGCCCTTTCCTCTTTTCTCCCTATATTCTCATCTGATGATCTCATTATCTCCTTTGGGTTCAATCGTTATTTATGCAGATGATTCCCACACCTACATACTAAGCTATATTCTCTCTCCTGAGCTTCAGTTTTACATCACCAACTGCCTTTGGACGTACTGAATTGAATGATCTGTAGGTCTCTCCAATTCAACATGCCTAAAATAGAACCTTTTCACCTTTTCTCCCAAAACCTTCCCTCTTTTTGAACTTCTCAGTTACTATAAAGGACATAACCATCCTCCCAATTCAATCAGGTCCTCATCCTTACTCATTCCATATATCCAATCTTGCCAAATCTTGTCATATCTACCTATACCTTGTCATATATATGTCCCTTTTTCTCCACTCAGTCATCACCCTTGCATTGACCCGAATCACCTTTTGCTTGGATTACTCAGATAGTCTTCTAATTGTGTCTTCCTGCCTCAGGTCTCTCCCTACTCCAATCCATCCTTTACTCAGCTACCAAAGTGATTTTCCTAAAGCACAAGTCTGACCCTGTCACCTCCCCACTCTTCAGTAAACTTCAAGTAGCTCATTATTACCTCTTGGCTCTAATAGAAAATTTTCTGTTTGGCATTTAAAGCCCTTTACCACCTGGCCTCCATCTCTTGGGTCTAGGCATTCTCCCTAGCTTTCCCCAGGCCTGCAGTGTTCTCCTTTGTCCATTCTGATGACTGACCTACCTGGTTTCAAGTCCCAAATAAAATCTGACTTTCCACCAGAAGCCTTCCTCAACTCCTCTTAATTCCATTGCCTTCCACCTGTTAATTATTTCCTGTTTATCTTGTACATAGCTTACTTTGTATATCTTTCTTTGCCTGTTGTCTCCCCGTCAGATTGTAAGTTCCCTGTGGGCAGGAATTGCCTTTTTTTTTCTATCTCCAGTGCTTAGCACAGAGCCTGGTATATAGTAGGCTCTTAATATTGATTGATTTCTATCCTTCCAATTTTCTTACACTTGACTCCCCTCCAACAATGGCCTTCTTGCTGTTTCTCACACATGATGTTCCATCTCCTGTCTCTGTATATTTGCACTGGCTGTCAACCATGCCTGAACTGTTCTGCCCCTTACTTCTGCCTCTTAAGTTTCTCTTGCTTCCTTCAAGACTCAGTTTAAATCCCACCTTCTAAGGACTTTCCTAGTTTACAGCTGCTAGCACCTTCCCCTCTCAGATTACCTTCCATCTTCTCAGTACTGCATCTTGCACATACCTAATTACTTACACCCTATCTCCACCATTAGAACATAAGTTCACTGGGTCCAGAGATTTACCTTTCTTTGTATGCCTATTGGTTAGCACAAAGCGTAGCTCATCATACTTATTTACTGACTGACTCGTTCTTTCAGGCAAACTGATCTGTTATCCCCCCAAATTTGTATTCTTCTCCAATATCCATGTCTAGAGTGCCCTTCCTCCTCACTTTCATCCCTTAGAATCTTTATTTCCTCCAAAGTTTAGATCACTGTGCTATCCTAAATCTCTCTCCCCTCCCTTCACCTCTGTAGTAAGTGTTCTCTTTTTCATCAAATTAACTTGTATTTACTTATATGTCATAACTTGACCCCCCACTCCCACTAAACTATAAGCTCCTGAAGGAAGTGATTCCTTGAAGGCAGCTCCTTTGGACTGTGACCTCCCTGAGCACAGGGATTGTTTTTGGTTTTTATCTTCATCTCTAGCGTTTAAGTTCGTGTCTGGCAGGTTCTTAATATTGTTTAACTTTGTTTTGGTATTCTTAACACCCAACACGGTGTCTGACATAGAAGAGTCCCTTTATAAAAGCATGCTTAATTAAGAAATAAGACGGACCGGGGTAAAAAGTGTGGACAAGGCACAACTTCAGGATTGAGACAGAAAAGGAACACCAAACCAAGAGAGCAGCGTGCTTTTAACAGCTTGCCTGATGAAACTGGAAAAAATATTGAGTGCAGAGTGTGGCCAGCACTGTTCATTTCTCTCCCTGTCATTACTTGTTTTCTAACACGGCACGCTAGTTTTGGTGGAGCTTCTGAAAGAAGCGCTGTAGGCGGGTCTGGGCTAACTGGGGATGGTGGGGAGGGGACTTTGGGTGGAGAACTCACAGAAGTGCCTGCGGCCTAAGCAGAGGGAGGGCTCCGGCACAGGATGGCCGAGCCCTCGTGAGGCAACGGCGGGCAGTGGCCCGTCTCGGACCCAACGACCCAGGATCCCTGTGCTGCCTGGGGAAGAAAGCCCGGAGCCGCTTGTCCGAAGCCCGCTGGAGCTTTGCGACCGCGCTTATCGCGGGAAGCCCAGGGACACAGGAGCATCTTCACGTCCCCGCAGTACCGCGAAAGAAAAGAACAGCTCCGACGCACGCGCACGCTGTGCGTGGACGCAGCCCGGGGCGCCGTGCTAGCGTGTGCGTGCGTGCGTGGGGCGGGGTCGACGCTCTGAGCAGGCGGCGGCAGCGGCGGTGGCGGTAGCAGCCGGAGGAAGAACATGGCGGGTGCTGCGGGGCCCGGGCGCGTCCCTGGCGCCGCGGGCGGAGACGGAGACGATTCATTGTACCCCATCGCGGTTTTGATCGACGAGCTCCGGAATGAGGACGTGCAGGTAGTGGCGCCGGAGCGGGGACCTGAGGCCGGGCCAGCGATGGGGAGACCCGGGGGTAGGACTGAGGCAGGAAGGCCCAGTGGGTTGGGGCAGGGGGAGGGGAGCAGCTGGCTTGAAGCCGGACCAGGCCGGCCCTGAGCTCGGGGGGTGAGGGGGAGACCAGAACCTGCCCCGGAGTTACCTTCTGTACACGCTGGGGCTCTCCAGGGGCTTCACCCTGACCCCACAGGGGTCACCCCTGATCCTCGGGGGCCAAGCCCGGGCCGGCCCCCAGGGAGGCAGCTTCCGAGGAAGACGCCTTCCAGTTTCTTTGACTCCTCGTGGGGGCTGGTCTGTGGGAAAGCTCCCCCGTCAGTCCCGGGAGAAACTTTGGGCCGCGTTAGCCTGGGTTTAAGAAGAAAAAAAAAACATTTTAGCATTAACGGGTCAGGATGCTTCTCCCCCCCTGATTTGCCTTCCAAATCTTGTTCCTGTTCTACCTCTCCCCTAATCCTCCTCCCCCCCATGCTAAATGAATGAAAGGCCAAGGAGAGCCGAGGTTAATTAACAGGATGTCAAGTGGTCCTTGAAGTTGTAGAGTTGAAATGTGTCCAGGGTTTGCAAATGGTGAGCTGGTTAAGGTGGAAGGAGGGATGCATGATTAAGCGAAATGATGGGTGTTTTTTCAGATTAAAAGGGAAAACGACAGGAATTATCACTGAATTTATTCTCTCCTGCAACATTCCTGTCAAAATTCTCTTTCTTGTTAAAATTCTTTCACTTGTTGACTTGTGAGCGCCTCTCAGGCTTTCATTTTTATCTTCCAAAAAAAGTATGACTACTCAACTTGAGGAATCATCTCTTGTTTATATGGTCACGTTAACCTGACTTTTGAAAACCTTCCATGCTACGTCTGCTTCTCTGAGAAATCTAAGTTAGAAGTTTGAATTTTATTTGTCTTCCTTACCTTCACTTGCCTGTTTAGCACTTTTTTTTGGTTTGCACTTTATCTGCTTTGTTCGGGTTTCCTACTTGCACCTTCATGTAATTAATTTTTCTTTTTAATAGCTAAGGCTCAACAGTATTAAGAAGTTATCAACAATTGCTTTAGCTCTTGGAGTAGAAAGAACTCGAACTGAACTGCTGCCATTTCTTACTGGTATGTTAATTTTGTTTTATTAGAAAGTATGGGAATTTTAGGGTTTTTTTAGCATTTGTTTATTGATTTAGCCATTTCATAGGCTATATTATTAACATTACTGAAAACTGATGTGAGCAAAGTAGTATAGAAAGACAGCACCACCTACCTTGGTCTAAATCAAAATATAATGTTATGGACAAAAATATTCCAGACATACTAAGCAAGTAAGAAAAATATTTATATGACATTGAAAAGGATGTTGAGCAGTTTCCTATCAGTTTGGCAGGAGAGATCTAAGTAGTACTTGTTGAAAGAAGGAAGAGTAGACTTTCTTTATGATTATAATTTGATTATATTGCCGTTTAAATGTCTAATATGTTTCCTCTTGTGTATCATGTTGAGTGTTCAGCTGTTGGTCAGCTAACTCTGTTTATGAACTCCCCATTGTTGCTATCTTAGATACAATTTATGATGAAGATGAGGTATTATTGGCTCTTGCTGAACAGCTGGGAAATTTCACTGTCCTGGTAGGAGGACCAGATTTTGCCCATTGTCTCCTGGTGAGTGGTGATGTGTGACCTATCTTCTTTATATTTTCTGAGCTTTAAGACATAAGGATAGGAACTGGACTTTTGAGTTCTTTGGTAAAAGGAATTTCCAGATAAAGGAAAACCCTCTACCAATGTGGGTTGGCATGTTTTTTCTTAATTTCTTGTCTTAGAGACTTGCCTAAAGCACTGAGAGGGTAACTCATTTGCCCAGGGACACATAGCCATGATGTATTAGAGGCAGGACTTGCACCCAGGCCTTCCTGGTTCCAAGGCCTCCTCTCTCTTCTCTTGTGTTTTAAATGATGTATTTTTTGGAGATGTGTTGCTCCCTACCTCCCCACCTGCAAAGTTTTATATACTTTCAGTGAAAGTTGATTCATGATCATCTTGTGGGAAAATGATCACAGTTTCAGTCATTGAGGACGTAAAGAGTATTTGTCCTGTTGACTTAGCAAAGTAACCTTTTCTTAGCTTTGCAAAATATCTGGTTACTTCATAGCCAGTCTCTTCTCTGTTCTTTGATCAATCTTCATGGGCTTATTTGTAAATTCACAAGATGGAGAACCTGAATTTAATTGTTTCTGGAAAATAGGGGTTTCAGGTTTTCTTCTAGGTATGTCATTTACCCTGGGAAACTTCATTAGTTTATTTTTTGTTCTTAACACCTACATTTAAGGAACAATAAATGTTAATGCTTTTCTTATTCTAATGAACACAGTGGCATGTGAGTGAGCCTTTGTTTTGGTGCAGGTTTCTTCATCTATACATATCAACAGTATTGTTTTCCAAATTGCTTCTTAAATGCTGTATGGTGAGAGAGTGGGTTTAGCAAACTGTATTATTGGATCAAGTAGGTGACACACAGTGGATGGAGTGTCTGATCTGGGGTAGTCAGGAAGACCTGAGTTCGAATCCAGCCTCAGTCACTTTACTAGCTGTGTGACAAATCATTTAAACCTGTTGGCCTCAGTTTTCTCATCTGTAAAATGAGCTGGAGAAGTAAATGGCAAACCAATCCAGAATCTTTGCCAAGGAAACTCCAAATGAAGAGTCGGAAATGACTGAAAATGACTGAACAACGAACTTTTAGTTGTATTTTTAAGGACAGGTAGGTGGCACAGTGGATAGAATGCTGGGCCTGGAGTCAGAAAGATTCATCTTTTTGAGTTCAAATCCGTCTTAAGGTGCTTAATAGCTGTGTGACTCTGGGCAAATCACTTAACCCTGAGTTGGAAAAGGAATGGCAAACCATTCCAGTATCTTTGCCAGAAAAACCTCATATGGGGTCACAGAGAGTCAAACGTAACTGAATACCAACAAATCATAGGATCATCGATTTAGAGTGGAAAGGGATATTAGAGGCCATTGAGTCTAACATTTGATACATCAAGAAACTGAGGTACAAGGGTTAAGTGATTTTTCTAGGATTACATATCTAATAATTGTCTGAAGTGGGATTTGAACCTTCCTGACTGTAGGTACTGGGCTTTCTATATTGGACTGCATGTCACACAAACATACTACTTACCTTCACTTGATCTTTCCCAAAATACTTCAGGTACGCCTCTGTTCTCACATCTGCACGTGAGATTTAGTGGAACTGAGTATACACTTTAACCTTTCCAGAAGCACAAAGATTTTTAGAAGGTTAGCGTGGTGCTTCCAGAGTCCTGGGCTTTTAGAGCCATCCTACGGACATTTTTACCTTTCATATGGCCATGTCATAGTCAATTAATCAGTCCCTTTGGGATATCCCTTAGGGTCTTTTTTGCTGATTTTCTTTCTGTCTCTAATATTGTCCTTATGTCTTTCATTCAGCTTTCCTGGCAAAGTGTCCTTGTTATGGGTGGCTAGCTTGGATAAGGATTTGGAATATAATATTGAGAGGCAGCTGTGTTATAATAGGAACATTTAGTGGAATGGATAAGTGGGGGGTATGGAGCTAATGTAGAGGTTGATGTTATTATCACCTGTGCTTCCAGGAATGGAGGGCTTAGTGGTTTGTTGGAAAATGGAAGTAACTATAGTGCCTAAAGAGATTCCTAAAGAAAAATGTTTCTCTTTTGTGTACTGTTGCATTTTAAAATATATCCTTGTTGAAATATGTTGTACTTTTAACCTATATTTGGCTACATGTCTGTTAAACTAGCATTCAGCTCAATACTGTTAATATTGTGGCAAGTCTCTTTCACTGTGTCATTTGTAGACACCATCTGTGAATTGCCATCTGGGACATGAGATCTTGGCTATCCTTCAGAAGTCGTGTCTTCAGGTTGGACATACCTTATGTTGCCACTGAACTGAAAACTACCATTTGATGTTATGTAGTTAAAGTTCTGGTTACATGTACCACCTCTCTTCAGTCACTACAAAAGGTGATACTCTGCTGCTTCCAACCTGATTCAGTAAGTTTTCTTTGATTTTCCTTTTTGGTTCTCTCTCAGCCTCCTTTGGAAAGTTTGGCAACCGTGGAGGAGACTGTAGTTCGAGACAAGGCAGTGGAGTCACTGAGGCAGATCTCCCAGGAGCACACTCCTGTTGCTCTAGAAGCCCATTTTGTACCTCTTGTGAAACGCCTGGCCAGTGGGGATTGGTTCACTTCTCGCACCTCTGCATGTGGGTTGTTCAGTGTTTGCTATCCCAGGGCTTCAAGTACTGTCAAGGCAGAAATTAGACAGTAAGATGTGGTATCTTTTCACTTATTTTGGGTTGTTGGGAACAAGTAATTGAAATCTACAATTTCACCTATGGGCACCCTAAAGGGATAGTGGGAATGTTGATGAATCTTTTCATATGTAATACTCAGAAACCTAAGCATTGGTATTTTTGCCGCCCAAGAGAAAGATTCTAAAATGCATTTTCTGATTACTGTAGTAATATTGTTGGAAATGAAACGCATTCAGTATTTTGTTTGCTGCAGGCACTTTTGTTCCCTGTGTTCTGATGACACTCCAATGGTCCGACGTGCTGCTGCTTCCAAACTGGGTGAATTTGCAAAAGTCTTGGAACTGGAAAGTGTTAAAAATGAAATAGTTCCTTTATTCACTAATCTAGCTTCAGATGAACAGGTAAATATGAGTTATTA